ACGACGGAGAGGAATGATTTTGTTGTTGCTTTGAAAGCAACACTAGTGGGCTTTTATTGAATCAGAGAATAAAACCTTGTCCTGTAGGTCACCGGGGTACGTTGCTTCCTTCAGAATGAACTAAGCCTGCCAATCTCCCTGTTTTCTCCTGGGTAACCTAATAAGTGTTGGACCTGAACTTCCTGCTAGTGTCCTCCCTCCTGGCCTCCGTGGCCTGGCTGCTGGCCTTCATCTACAACCTGCCCCACACTGTGCTGACCAGCCTGGTGCACCTGGGCCGCGGAGTCTTGCTGTCACTGCTGGCCTTGATGGAATCTCTGATGCGGTTCACTTTCGGGGGCGCTCAGGCCCTGTGAACCCTGCTGTGCAGCTGCTGCTCTGGCCTGGAGAGCCTGAAGCTCCTGGGGCACCTGGCCGCGCACGGGGCCTTGAGGAGCCGGAACATCCTGCACCAGGGCATTCTCAATGTGGTCTCCAGTGGCCATGCTCTGCTGCACCAGGACTGTGACGTCCGTGCCATTGCCATGAGCCTGGTGGCCTACGTGATCAACAGCCTGGTCAACATCTGCCTCATTAGCACTCAGAACCTTTTCTCCCTGTTGCTGGCCCTATGGGATGCAGTGATGGGTCCACTGTGGAGGATGACGGACATTATGGAGGCCTTCAAGGCTTACATTTCCAGCAGTGCTGTGGCCATGGCCATCCTCCTCTGGACCCCATGCCAGCTAGCAATGGAGCTCCTGGCCTCGGCTGCCCACCTCGTGGCCAGCTTTGTGCTTGTCAATCTCACTGGCCTGGTGCTGTTGGCTTGCGGGCTGGCGGTGACGGTGACCGTGCTGCACCCAGACCTCATCATGAGGCTGGCCACCCAGGCCCTCAGTCAGCTCCATGCCCGGCCATCCTACCACAGGCTTCGAGAGGATGTTACACGGCTGTCTCGCCTCGCACTGGGCTTGGAGGCTTGGCGCCGAGTCTGGAGCCGAAGCCTGCAGCTGGCAAGCTGGCTAAACTCGGGAGGGGTACCTGGGGCTCCCCAGGGTGGCCCTAGTAGGGTGCCTGCAGCCAGGGCCTCACAACAGGACACTCTTCCTGAAGCAGGGCCCAGATCAGAGACAGAAGAGGAAGAAGGTAGAATGGTCAGAGTGACTGCTGCCTGGGGCAGGGAGAGGCTCAATGAGGAGCCCCTAGTCAATCAAGACCCATGGAAGTTGCTGAAGGAGCAAGAGGAGTGGAAGAAGTGCGTCATCTGCCAGGACCAGAGCAAGACAGTGCTGCTGCTGCCCTGTCGGCACCTGTGCCTCTGCCAGGCCTGCAATGAAATCCTGATGCGCCACCCTGATGTCTACCACCCCAACTACCCGCTCTGCCGCCAGGGCATTCGGAGGACCCTCAACGTCTACCTCTGAGAACTTCCTCCCTTCCTGCCCTCCTCCAGCTTCACGTGCTACATTAACACCTGACCTCTGGGTCCTGGCCTGAATCAACTTTTGTTTAAATATATAAAATAAATATCAAAAATATAAGTCTTTGTTTTACTATGGTTGCAAATATCAAAAAATTTCTATATGTGACACGGCACCAGAGTTAAGTTAGGGTTTTTCAAAATGCTGACACGCCGAGCTCAAAAGGTTCGCCCTCACTGGTCTAGGACATTGAGATGGGACACCCTGGAAGACAGTGACTTGGGTGGGGGCAGGATAGCAGCTTCTGTTTCCCAGTGGGTCCCTGCAATGCTGAGGGAGGCGTGTCACTGTCACGCCCTGAGACTGTTTGTTGTGGCCTCCCCTCCAGATGCCAGCCTCTGGGGCTCCTCTGCTTCTGTTTTTTTTTTTTTTGGTTGGAGATTTACAGGTCCTCTCCCTAGCTTCTGTAGCCACAACACATCAGTGTTATTTGGGTATTTTGGCAACTCAAGGGCCTTGGGATATTCTTGAACCTTTGCTTTTAGCCAGAACTCCTGTGCCGGGAAGGTCTTTGGGGTGGTTTTGCAGATGCTCTTAGAGCTACTACTTTTGCTTGCCATGATCTTCTGAAGCTCCCTCCCAACCTCGTCCAACAGCTGGGGTCAGAAGTTTATCCGTGTGTACGTGTGTGTGTGTGTGTGTGTGTGTGTGTGTGTTTGTATACCTGCACCTGGCCTTGGGAACATGAACCCTCGCATCCCAGCTCCACTGGGAGCCTCCAGAGAGAGAACCAGATTTCTATTCCTTCCTTTCATTCCCCACATCACAAATGGGACTGCATCAAAATAAAAAAGCTTCTGCACACACAAAAAAACAAAACCCATAAAAAAAAACAACAAGAAAGCCAGCTGCATGGGAGAACATATTTGGCAATGTTATCTCTAATAAGGGTTTAATCTCCAAAATTTATAGGGAAATCATACAACTTAACAAAAGGAAGATAAACAATCTAATAAAAAAATGGGCAAAGGACTTAAATTAGGCACTTTCAAAAGAGGACATATAGAAGGCCAAGAGACATTTGAAAACACACTCAAAGTCACTAATCATCTGAGATATGCAAATTAAAATGACAATGAGATACCATCTCACACCTGTCAGAATGGCTATCATCAACAAATCAACAAACGACAAGTGCTGGCTAGGATGTGGAGAAAAAGGAACCCACTGCTGATGGGAATGCAGACTGGTGCAGTCACTGTGGAAAACAGTATAGCATTTCCTCAAAAAATTAAAAATGGAACTCCCATTTGACCCAATAATCTCACTTCTAGGAAATATATCCTAAGAAATCAGAAACAACAATCAGAAAGGATATATGCACCCCTATGTTCAGAGCAGCACAATTTACAATAGCTGAGATTTGGAAACAGCCTAAGTGCCCATCAGCAGATGAGTGGATTAAAAAACAGTGGTACATCTACACAATGGAATATTATGCTTCTGTAAAAAAAAAAAAAAAAAAGAACTCTTACCATTTGCAACAGCATGGGTGGACCTGGAAAGCATTTTGCTAAGTCAAATAAGCCAGTTGGAGAAAGATAAATATCACATGATCTCACTCATATGTGCAATATAATGAACAACATAAACTGATGAACAAAAATAGATACAGAGACATAGAAGCATTGACAGACTGTCCAACCTATGAGGGAAGTCAGAGGAGTTTGGGTGGGGAGGGGGGAGTAAGAGAACAACCAAAGGATCTGTATGCATGCATATAATCATAAACCATGGACATAGATATTAGGGGGGTGAGGGCATGGGCAGGAGGCTGGGAACTGCCAGGGAGAGGTCAATGGGGGGGAAGCTTTTTAGAGATATTCTTTCTACACTTATATTTAACATATCTACACTAATAAAAGACAAACATGCAAATTGACTGTACCTTTGCTATGCCTTATGCCATGCCCACCAGCCAATCAGAGTAACTATATGCAAATTAACCCAACCAAGATGGCAGCCAGCAGCCACAGAACTGAAGCAAGCAGGAGGCTTGGTTGCTCCAATGATGGAGGAAGCCAACTTCCTGCCTGCTGCGGCCAGCTCTGAGCTCCACTCAAAGCAACAAAGTTTCAATGATAGAAGGTAAATAAACCCCAGATACCTGCTTTCAGCTGGCCGTGGCCACAGAGCTGGAGTGAACAGGAGGCTTCCCTCCCACCCACCCTGGCTGGCTCTGAGCTCCTCTCAAGGCTACAAAGTTTCAATTATAGAAGGTAAATAAATCCCAGAATGAAAAAAAAGGAGAGGCTGGGAGCTTCTGTTGTTGGAGGCTTGGCCAGACTGAAAACAGCACTCAGCCCCTCACCGAGACTGGCCAGGCACCCCACTGGGGACCTCCCCACCCTAAAGGGGGTGTGGCCAGCCTGAAAACAGCCATCAGCCCCTCACCCAGGCTGGCCAAAGCTCCATGGGGTGAGGGTCCCCACTGTGTGGGGGGGCTTAACCAGCCTGCAAACAACCATCAGCCCCTCACCCAGGCTGGTCAGACACCCCAGTGGGGATGCCCACCCTGAAGGGGATGTGATCAGCCTGCAAACACCCATAAGCCCCTCACCCAGGCTGGCCAGGCACCCAAGCGGGACCCTTGCCCTGATCCAGGACACCCTTCAGGGAAAACCAGCCGGCCCCCACCTGGGCACCAGGCCTCTATCCTATATAATAAAAGGATAATATGCAAACTTACCCTAATAGCAGAAAGACTGGGAATGACTGGTCACTATGACACACACTGACCACCAGGGGCAGATGCTCAATGCAGGAGCTGCCCCTTGGTGGTCAGTGTGCTCTCATAGGGTGGAGCTCTGCTCAGCCACAAGCCAGGCTGATGGCTGCCAGTACAGCAGTGGTGGTGGGAGCCTCTCCCGCCTCCTCAGCAGTGCTAAGAATGTCTGACTGCAGCTTAGACCGGCTCCACGCTGGCAAGTGGACATCCCCCAAGAGCTCCTAGGCTGCCAGAGTGATGTCTGATTGCCAGCTTAGGCCCAATCCCCTGGGGAGTGGGCCTAAGCCAGCAGGTGGTCATCCCCTAAGTGGTTCTAGACTGCAAAAGGGCACAGGCCAGGCTGAGGGACACCTTCCTGAGTGCACAAATTTTTGTGTTCTAGGCCTCTAGTTTCTTTATAATATATGTTTTTATTGGTCTAGAGAGAGAGAGAGAGAGAGAGAGAGAGAGAGAGAGAGATCCAAGGGAGAGAAACATCAATTGGCTGCCTCCTACTTGCCCCTCTGGTGATTGAGCCTGCAAACCAGGCATATGTCCTGAGCAGGAATTGAACCAGCAACCTTTCAGTGCATGTGATGATACCTATCCAACTGAGTCACACTGGCCGGGCACATATTTCTTAATAAATTCTATTTCTTTATTCTTATAATTATATAATATAGAGAAAATAATTTTTCCCATGAAGCCAATATAGCCTAATTTTCTTTCAGTTTAGTACATTGTACCCCAAAATATCATTATTTTCTCTGTGTGCCATGTCATTTAAAAGGTTGAGAAGTGCTGCCTAGTCCATGGAGAGGTAATATATGCTCCATCTCTGTGGTGCTCCCATGGTCCTTCAGACCCTGCAAAATTATATACCACATGCCTCTACCAGCTCAGGATCCATTACCCCACATACAAAGTGTATTACCTCCACCTAAAGAAAGCATGACTTTGGGAATACCTTCCTCCCATTCTTTGAGCCAGCTCTGAGTAGACTATCTTGAGCAGCAAGATTTCTGAGCTCTAGGCCTTGGGCAGCAAACTTCACAGCCAGGCCCACCAAATTCCAGGATTTAGTGGTAGTTGATGCATGTTCCAACCTTTCCTCACTACTGCTACTAGAATGGGGTATCATAAGACTGCCTTGGCCAGGCAGGGGAGGTATTGGGGTGGAAAATGATAGAAGCCACCTAGTTTTTCTGTTGGTCCAAGGAAGAGGGACCCCTTACCTCCTGGTCCCTATAGAAGCAGGGTCCTGCCACTGGGTCACCAGACATTATGTACATTTGGGAGTTAGTCATTAGCATGTAGAAGGTAGTCAGAGCCATGAGTGCCCTGTAAATTCCTGAAAATCAAAAGTCCCAAACTTGTAGGAAAAAAAGCAAGAATCTTACTCTGCTCCTCACCTTACTCCCATAGATGAGATGTTCCCCTTCCCTGTCCAAGAGACAGGTTCCTGAGTTCATTTCTCTCTCTGCCCCTTGACTTACGTCTCAGAGATCTCTTTTTCCTCTCCCCTCATTACAGTGTTTCCCTCCTTTTCCAATGAGTCATCAGCACAAAGCCTTGGGATCACCCTGCCTCAGTGACCTGAGGAGGCAGCGAGTCTCTCCAATTTATCATGGCATCCTCATCTCACTCCACCTCTCCTTCCAGATGCTCATATTGGATGCAGGTAGGAATCCTTATATGTGTCTCTGATTCACTGTTACATAAGGGGAAGGAAAAGAAAAAGAGAGGGAAGATGGAAGCAAAAGTTTGACAAAAATACAAATGTTATAAGATCCTGGAAAAGTAAAAAAGATAACTTTATTCCATTTACTAAGTACCCGGAAGTGTACTAGGCATTTTACTTGTATCTCCTGGTCCAAGCCTGTGTGTGTGTGTGTGTGTGTGTGTGTGTGTGTGTGTGTGTACACCTAAGTATAAATGTGCATGTGGTGGGATAAAGATTGAGAGAAAATGAAAGTGCCCATATGGTAAGCATAAGTTCTTAGAGCCTCAAGATAATGTAGAATAATATTGGCAAAAATTAGCTTGTATGCCCCAATTTTCTCATCCCATGCTCATGGCAAACATTATTAATGATTCTCAAATATCTTTTCCAATGAGCTGCATCAGATTCTTTCTCAACACAGTTATCCAACTCTCCATCCAGAACCATCAGAGTTCCTATGTGATCCCTCCGTTCTATGGACAAGGTCAGCACCTGACCTGAAGGGATTAACAT